ACGTTCAACTTATGAAAGCTTCTCAAGGATGTTTCCGCATTCATTCCACTACATCGCTGACAAACAATGGTTGCTGTTGAAGTGTTCCTTATTTTGATTTTTCTGTGTAGCTGATTTATATACCACTTTCTAGGAATACACGGCCATCCGACACGTTTACATATCTATGTTACTTAATTATCGGTCAACACGGTAAATCGCCTTATCACTCAATGCAAAGCATTTCACGAGATTTCACTTATGGATATTAGGTAAGAAATGTGACTGATTTCAGTGTTACTGGCCCCACTGAACTGGATGGTTTAATGCAGATGATTCAATTAATCTTCCAGACAAAATATTTTTTGTCAAATTAAAGCAGAACTAGTCCTAATATCTCAAAATCAACGAAATAACATTTACTGTAATTTTACGTTTCTTGAGACATTTTTATCAAATTCATCTATAAAAGTAGTACACATTTCGTAACAGTATTCCGGGAGAATAATGGAGAAGATGTGTGTGTGTGTGTACGTGGATGATTTTGATGCAGTTGTAGATGGTTGAATTACCAAGCGTTATATCACCATTCACAACTTGAAAATAACGGTCTCTTTGCAATTGTGATGTTCTGAGTATTTTGAAATATAAACCGAATGTTTAGCACTGCAGTTTTATTCCAAATCCATCGGTTAATTATTCTGTTTTCAGGCAGTTAAGATCAGCAAATTACGAGTGACCACAGTGAATTGGGCTTTATAGGATCCGTGTGTTTGAACATAGTTGGTAATACAAAACGTAATCGAGTAATTCTGCCTGTCAATGGCGTCACTGTACTTTTGGGTAGGTATTATCTAATTCCGATATAAAGCCAATCATCAGTGTGTGATTCAGAGAGCCACATAAGAAATACATTTCCCCATGCGCTTGATCACTTGTCAATTCATCATCATCTGTATAATATGGATATCTTATTATTATCTTCAACCACCCGTACATACAATTGTACATACGGGTATGTAATGTAGGCAATATTTCCAAACTTGACGATTTTGATGTGACATATTTCCAGTTGAGTAATATTGCCTCAGTGTTGATTGGTCCGTTATGTGGTGTACGGAAGAGGCTTCGCTTCATTTTGAAGCAGTTCAAATATACTTTGCTCATTCAGTCACGTTCTTATGTGTGAATGCTCACTACGCTTTGCTTCATTCTCCAAAAGACCTGGGAGGGGTATTTGGTGGATTTTTGTCAATCCAATCGATGCACACTGAGTCTTCCGATCCATTTGTTATCTTGCGTTATTCTCAACAATAAACTCGCCGAAAGGCCTACCACTTATGCAGATAAATATGTCACCCGACATCACGTAAAATATTCCTCTCACCAGAATTCACGTCCACAAACGCTGCGATATCATGAAGATAGGCTTTCATTTGTGTGACTGTATCTTGTTTTATAAATGGTGTGGCGAGTGAAATTATTTGCTTGGGAGCTGCTCTCTTTTACGCAGTTCACCAGTTTTAAAAGCTTGTTGAAATTAACAGATAATCCTAGGGAATATACGGATATATCTTCTAGCATATTTGAATCTCTTGGAGGCATGCAGAAAGACTCAGAAGATCCCCGTTGTCTCGTTGAAAGCGAAGAACAGACGTATCGCATAATCGTCGAAATGCATCATATGACGGTTCTTGTAAATTCCGAATCCAAAATTACGCATCTTGAACAATATCACTAGAATTACTACCACTCGACCTGAATCATCACTAACCACACCACTCCATTCATAACAAAAACACAATAAAAGCAACGCAATCAAATACACACACTGATTTTATTACAATCAAGACTATTTCTGGATTCACAATGGTCGTCTACACAACACGTGATAGGTAACGTGTGCTTGTATTCACTAGAAGCTGGCCACCTCCTCGTCAGTCGGAAACAGGAATTTAGGAACGAATTTGCATCCCAACTTGAGCACCGGTGCCAGTACAGCTCTGATTGTCACTGGGAGCATAGCCAGCATACCATCAGCACCTACACGACGAGAGAACACGTGGAGATTAGGACAGAATGAGAGGAGAGTTATTGCAGTTTCGAATGTCACTGTGCATCACAGTGCATCGGCCAACAACCAGTGAACACACTTACCTGGTGTGCAGATGAGAGCGATGAGAATTGTGGTGAAGATGAGGAGCGTGAGATTCTGTCAGTGAAGGGAGGAAGCAAGGTAGGAAAGAATGTAAATATGAAGTTAGAAACGGCAGTCTTACCTTCATTGTTCTTGTCGATGTTTGACTATTTGTGTGAGTGAGTGAGTTAGTGAGTGAGGTGGAAATCCTCATGCTTATATAGTATTCACTTGTCCAACAATGACTGCATAGATTGATTGAAGTGTCGTTGACTAACCTGACTTGTCAATCATATGAATGAATGACCATTTAGTGGTTTCTTCACTTGATATTTTTTCGTGAAACTGATGGACCGGTGATTTGAGGTTTAGGTGTCTCGATGAAGAGATTACCGAGAATTCTTCTAGTTGAATATTTGTGTGTTGTTATGTGATATTGTGTGTTTCTAATTACCCTGTTCATGTTTGTTTATGGAAACTGCATCATGCTTTATGATGATTCACCTTAGTGAATTAGAAAGTTTTCTCGTGCGATAAGTGGCTAGTTCGAGCATAATTTCCGTTGGGTCATCAGGAAGTCAGGAGTGATTCAGCGTATTGACTCTTTGCACGGAATTTATTTCCATGCTGTACAATCGTAATCTCATGTATATAGTTTTTAGGAAATTTTATCCGGTGAGTGAATTGAACCATAAATAGGAACAAATAAAGTATTAATAGTATGAAATGTAAATACAATGATTGTGGTTATATTCATATTAAATATGAAAGGATAAAACAAGTAATGTCATATACACATTAATTCTTAGGATATATAACTGTTGAAAGGGGCGTAAAATTCTGGGAACAATAGGCAAATCAAATTTTGCGTAACACGAAGTGAGATTTGATGACACAGTATGTAATAGTACCACAAACTCATTTCAATTGCATTCCATACTATTATTTCATGAAACCATACCTTTGTTTCAATAAGTGGATGAGCTGTCGAATCCACATATATTCTCAAAATCTCCCCAAGTGGAAAGCCAGAGTGGCATTGCTTACAATAATGTAAATTAGGTGGAAGAGAGGGTACACAGATGCTGCATTATGGTAAGAATGTTGACGTTTCAGTTCCACCTTCTCAGTGGCGCTGGAAGTAGTGCCAGCCTGGTTGTATCAGCCTAGTAATATTCTGTGAATGTTGGTGGAATGTGAGTGAACGTGTTTGTGGTGACAGTAGAACTATCAGTGTCAGTTGTCACTGTGATGTATGTAGGGGGAGAGGCTGGTTACTGCGTGTATTTTAGCAGGAGAGGTGTGTTAATCTGTGGATGGATGGATAATGCTGATTGTGTATTTGTGTGTACTGGTGTACTGGTGTGTGGATGTTTGTGTGCATTTGTGTATATTTCGGCTGACAAATAATGAGTGTTGTGTATTGATGAAATAGAAGTCGATTTGTTTTCAGTCAGTGTCGTCAATTATTGAGTGGTGGCGTTATTGTTGAGATTTTGACTTGATTCAATGTTATGGAGAGGAAAGGAGGAGTTCCGCGCATTGTAGGATGGTGATAATCAGGATATTAGCGAGAGTTTCTGTCCCTGGGTGAATGTGTGTGAGTATTGGTTACACTGACAATCAAAATGTTGACTGTGGTTTATCACTCAGCCCAGGCCAGTTTCTCCATACCGACTGTGTGAGAGATGATGATTTCGCTCGCCGTTGTCAATCCGACTGGATGATTAACCAACAAGACTGGCCCCCATGCAATTCCTGGGTATATGGAAGGCCGGTCAGACCTGGAGCCATACGCATATTATAACTGATAAACACACCTAACAATATGTTAGAACCAGTCAGAAGGCAAGCCTCCTGCCACTCACTCTGCAATTCATATGAATTTGTCAACTCCATCGAAAATGTCAGTGTCTCTAATCAAAACACTTTTTTCCTTCACGTCCTCTAGTGAAACACAGGGCGTCAACCTAGGGCTTGAAGTTTTCGTATCAGTGTTTATTTTTACATGTTGTATTTGCTGGCCTCATTCCCAACCTTTCATCTTTATTAGCATTATTTCTGGCTTAGTGAGGTAAAGGAGTGCGTCGGCCTGGATCGAAACTCAGATTATGTGCATGGTCGGCGAGCGTACTAACCGCAATGCTACAGACGCCCACCCAAGGAGCTATCACTGTATACAAATATCACACTGATTAACACAATATGGAACACGTGCGAAAACATTGATTCATACAGGATCTACATTGGTATACTCAGTGACTACTTGAAGGAACTACAGTTTCAAATGCATCCTAATTATCCAAATCAATCCTAATAATGATGAAATATATTGGCGAATGAATGGTATATTAACGGGCTCGTTATTAGGCCCAGTGATTGCAGATTGCTTCATTTCAAAACACCAGAACACATAATTGAAGAAAATGGTTGACGGATTTGGGTTTTACAAAATATACGTGGATGTCACTTCCAATATCCTGATTAATGAGGGAATTCGGAGTTTAATCTGGATACTTTCGACAACTGCCACCCTAGAATCCAGTTCACATTCGAGAAGGAGTTATGCTCAAAACATTTTCTCTACATTCAGCTAACAAGACGTGACCAAGATGGAACACTAAAGAGATCCACCTACAGGAAGCCGACGTGAAGCGAACAACTCACTAACTCTCATAGTTCGGTGGCTCCATATGCGACATTCAGCATCACCAGTAAATCAAACCAAAACATCTACAGCATCTGGAACACTAAAAATAATGAAGACAGAAAACCACATCGAATATTTCGCCACAAAATCCGTAAAGCGTAAACTAGGGAAACACCCAAAAATTCTCCTCCCAAAATACACCTCACAAATAGTTCAAACACGCCGACTGACAACATGGCCTATCTGCTACCCTGTCATATTCAGTCATATAATCATTCACTTCTCAAATCAAATTCAAATGTCACTCATACATCAAGAATTCACCTGAAAAGAACCAATGAATTACAGGAAAAACAAGAATCAATTTACCCGATTGGGTGTATATATTTCCAGCTAGAATTCCCGTCAGCACAATATTCCCAATCACCTCTACCCCAATCAACACAAAATGAAGGTGAGTGTAAAATTCTAGTCAAGTAATTGTCTCTCTCTCTCCCTCTCTCCCTATCGGGAAATTCTATCAGTGCATCTTCCTCCTCATCTGCCTAACCGTCCTCGTCAGTCAAACGCAAGGCTTGAGTAAGTTCACGAGATTTGTTGACAGATGAATTTATGAATACATCAATGTTCCCATTTCGCGATAATGATGATCTGTTTCTCTTCATTTTTCGCCAACCCCCTCCTCTCTGTAAATCAAAATAATGCCAAATCACAATACAAAATACTCAACACAATGCATCACATCCAATGCCACTAATGCACAAATGCACACTTGATTCAACTCAGTTCTCGATAAGATGTTCAACATTCTCCCTCCGACATTGAAGAAGCTGGTCAAGAAGGTGGTCCATTGGGCTTGTCCGAATGAGAGGGCACCGAGCGTAGGTGGTGGGGCATCAGATGTGACGACTACGAAGAAGGTGACGAAGACGGTGAAAGAATCTCGCAAATAATCGAACCTCGTCGGGGTCATCATCCAATGTCGGCATATATTTCTGGTCATAATGAAGCTGAATTGTGCGAACTGCCAACTGTTCAATATTTCAGATATTTTCACATAAATTTAGTTCGTTGCATGCATTGCTTTATTTTCTTGTTGGATGGAATGCTATCCTAGACGGCACTTGGTGCCGGCCAACATCTTTCTTTGACGGTGTGCAAGCTCTGTAAATAAGTGCATGAATGAATCCGAACTAATACAGTAGGAGATAATTGAAAGATCTCAGTCGAGACGTGAAAATCTTTCATAAGGGTACTGTAGAAATCGGAAATGAGGAAGATGGAATGCATACAGGCGACGCTCGTAGAATGCATTTGCATACTGCATTGAAAATACCTAGTACAGATGCCTCACTTCCAGAATGTTAGAGTTTCGATAGCCAGAAAAAAGAATCCCGATGTATTTGAAACCATCACTGCATTTCGCTTTCTGCCTATTTTACATCATAAATTAGTAGCAGCTGTGTCACAGCTACATTCTTTCTGGTTTGACAGTGCGAACATCTATCAGTTATACACGAAGCTAAACATCACCAGTGTGACCATAATAATAAATGGGCTTAATCTAAACAGTTTATTTGTTACAGCATGAAATTCTCAGCAAGTTTATCACAGAGTTGTTAAAAGAGCGTCGATGCTCTTGTCAATTTCGGCCCTCGTCATGTAGTGGTATTCCACACGAATGGGAACAACTATGTATTAAGAATGATACTTAATTATATCTGTGGTGAGAGCTTTCTCCTAGCCAAAATTGGGAGACAGCAATTTACGTCAATGTTTACCTCCCAAATCCTGGTCATGAGAAAAACAAGAACAAAGACTTAGCGTGGGCGGATACGATTCACATGTGAGTCGGTGGCACAGTGGTTAGGACTCTCCCCGACCATGCACATGGTCCGAGATTTGATCCCCCGCCGACACACACCTGATATCTATGGTCGGCCTGCAAAATTTAGGCTACCGATATCACACGCTGAAAATTGCATACTAGTACCAAAAAATACAGTGTGGAATCAAGCTGTAATCAAAAATAAAATAAATATATGATCTGACCATGAAAGGGAAGGCCACAAAGAGATGACAGAATAAATTTCAGCGGGAGTGTTATGTACTCGTCGCTAAATAATTGTTATGGACTGGTCGAGAAACTAATAGTCCTGACGCGAGAAGGCGGAAATCAGAAGACCACTAGGTTTGCGATGATACTTCTATTGTCCAAACACAAGGAGACGAAAATAAATGGTCTCACACCAAAGTGGTAAGCAAGTCAAGTAGTTGTAAAGTAGTTCACACAAATTGTGAATGCGAATATATATAAATAATTCAGACAAAGCGTGGGAAAAATCATTAGACAGTCTTAACATGAATGGCTAATTATAATGGAGTGTCGATCCAATTATACATAGCGAATATAGCAGACATGCCAACAAACATATATGGATATATGTCACCAAGCAACGGACTGTCAACAAACACTCATATTATATATAATATAATATAAGGAGAATACACATTATTAAAGGAGACAAGTTCATACAAGTGAAGTGGTCACAGACAAACAGAAAGAGAGACCAACATACACACACACATAAATATATATATGTGGATACATATCACCTCCCCTTTTGAGAAGATGGATGATTAGTAGGATGTTTACCTGGGGGTTTATCTGGGACCTTTGGGCTTGTTGTTGACGCCTGTCGTTTCGTCTGATTGTTGGGTTTGCGGCTTCGGCTCCGTCCGGAATTGTCTAGCATTTTATGCTTCTTGGCTGCATTGCGTAGAGAATTTAGTGGGACATCAGCCAGATGCAAACGATCGAACCAATCAAGTCCCAAAAGATTTAAATCATTCTTGGTGACGTAACAAATTCCTGTGAATTTGGTATTGCGGAAGGAAACAGAACATTTGAGTTCACCAATTAGTTTGAGCCGCCCACCACAGGCGCTGACAGGAGACTGGGAAGTATTGGTGATAGGTGGTCTGCCAATATAATTCCAAAGTTTCTCTGATATAACAGTAATATCAGAGGCGGTATCTAGCTGCAGACGTGCATCATGACCATTCATCTGAAGGTCAAGATATTTCCGCATAGCTGGTGTTGTGACTTGACAGGTTGCGAGTAGACTCAATGATCTTTTTGGAGATTTAGGACCAACATTTTGTTGAGCTTTTGCTGGATTATGACATCTGGGTTTGCGTGGCTGACAAAAACCATTTTTATGACCGATGATTTTGCACTTGCTGCAACGATGATTTTTGTATGGGCAAGACTTTACAAAGTGCCACGCGCCACAATGCCAGCATGGTGATGGTGGGGTCTTCTTTGCAGTATTTTGTGAAGTTGGACGAGTATGTGTAGATTTCCGCGGAACATTAGGAGAAGTAGGTGGGTCAGGAGTAGCTGATGAGAGATTTTTGCTCTTGCGTAATGCACGAATATCAGAGCTTCTCGGAGGTGTTGATTCGACCAAGTGTGTGTCTTTCTGCAGATTAATCAGCCGTTGATATTCATCAGCTATGTCATGTAATGTTAACTTGGGATTTTGTTCTAGCTGATTGAGCAGTCGAGTTCGGATATCTGTGAAACGAGGAGATTGGAGACTGCATATGAGAATCAAGGCTTTGAACTGATCATCTGTTAAGGACCTGAGTCGAAATCTCTCACATTCTCGGTTGACTGTGCCAACGTGAGTAAGAAAATCATCATTTTCATTCATTGCCAGCTTGAGGCAACGATAACGTATACTGAATAATGAGGAGTGGTCTCCGAAATGTTCACGCAGCAACTTTATTGTATCATCGAAACAATTGTCACGTGGTTTCTGTGGTAAAATTAGGTTGCAGTACCGTTCATATTCTGCCGGACCCAATTTACGTAGCAAAACTCGCACCTTCCAGGCATCGTCTTGTGAGGCGAGATCAACAGTGAATAAATCCTCATAACGTTGATACCATGTGTCAAAAGTGACATTAGCCTCTGGGTCATAATTGAACTGTGAAATGCTGTTCACAATTCCGTCGACAGATGGTAGCATGGTATGATTGGGATTGCTTGAAGGTGGAGCTGGACCAGTCTGTTGGTTGACGAACATTTCCATTAATTTCATTTGTCGTTCAAACAATAATTCCAATTTAATAGGATCCATAGTAAATTGTTATGTTGTTGCTGCTGTGTGGTTAATAGTAGTTTCCCTGTATTTTCCCCGTCGCCAAATTGTTATGTACTTTTTCCCCGTCGCCAAATTGTTATGTACTCGTCGCTAAATAATTGTTATGGACTGGTCGAGAAACTAATAGTCCTGACGCGAGAAGGCGGAAATCAGAAGACCACTAGGTTTGCGATGATACTTCTATTGTCCAAACACAAGGAGACGAAAATAAATGGTCTCACACCAAAGTGGTAAGCAAGTCAAGTAGTTGTAAAGTAAAGTAGTTCACACAAATTGTGAATGCGAATATATATAAATAATTCAGACAAGCGTGGGAAAAATCATTAGACAGTCTTAACATGAATGGCTAATTATAATGGAGTGTCGATCCAATTATACATAGCGAATATAGCAGACATGCCAACAAACATATATGGATATATGTCACCAAGCAACGGACTGTCAACAAACACTCATATTATATATAATATAATATAAGGAGAATACACATTATTAAAGGAGACAAGTTCATACAAGTGAAGTGGTCACAGACTAACCGAGCAAACAGAAAGAGAGACCAACATGCACACACACACATAAATATATATATGTGGATACATATCATGGAGAAATTGCAATTCGAAGACGCTGTTTCTCTCCTAATCATAGCCTGTAATAATTTTCATAAAATTATATAAGTATCTGTTGATTTTCTCAACAAACGATCTGTTGCCTGGCTCGTTTCTTCTGTCGTTATATATCTGCGTATTGAATGTTTGTCTTTTGAACTGCTCTATGATCCAGTGGGATGCACCACATTATTCTGATAGTCTGGCAGAGAGAATAGATTTATAATTTATTGGCTTTGTGGGCTGCATGGAAAGTGGCAACTCGAACTGCTGCACATCTGTGCAAATTTCTATGGTGAAACCAACCAGTCAGTCGGATAGTCGACTTATTGGTTACGAGTCTTATATTTGCAGTCATAGCTAGTCTGACGAAACGTAATATTTGTAACACATATTCGTACACGGAATACTGTGACATGAGATTCATCCATGAAATAATGATTTTGTTTAGACTATATTTTGCCATTGGATTATTAGAGACATTTTTGAGCTGCCTTATTAGTTAACATGCGTTATGAATTCAAGTGTTGTTATCGTGCTCAAGAAAATCTTCGTCTTTTCGATGTTAATCACACAAATAAATTTCACGAAGAATTCTGTAAGGAAAGTACAGTTAACGGTGCAACAGACTATGGTGAAAGGGTACTCATGGATAATGGTGCAGAGGATCACTTGGAGATTGAACTTCATAGTTCAAGTTAAAGTGGATGTACACAATAACTTGATTATGAGGTAAACGACAGTGAAGCTGTATCTCAAATAAAGTACGCATGCATACATCATACTTAGGCCAACTGTGACATCTGTTTCGAGCGTAGTCTCGTTTCACACAACATCAGGAGATGGTTTGCACATTCATCTCTTGTAGAAACGTAATTTAATTTTTGAAGACATTTCCCACTCAATAGAAACTTCCTCTTGCATTCTGCGTTTGAATACTTTTTGTGAAAATATAGTGTTTCCAACTTTGCGCTACTACCTGTAGTGAAGGCATCCCTTGTGGTTTTGTCATTCCTTTTCTGTATGTTTAACTTGAATTACAGTGGCCTGTCTCCAGTTGTTTTGAATGATTTCAACTCCACCTTGAAGTTTCCTTGAAATAGATGATGGTCTGAGCCCACATCTGCTCCCCGTCTCGATTTTGTATCCAGC